GCAGCCAAAGCTGCCCTCCAAAACACCGAACAAAGGTAAAAATAAATCCCGCGCCCACTGAATGAGCCCAACTGGTTGATACCAAAAAAGAAGAGTTTCAGGAATTTATTTATTTATTTATTTATTTATTTATTTATTTATTTATTTATTTTGCATATGGGTGAATGCTTAAGAAGTCCCTTTCGGTCATTTTTATTGGTGCGTTATAGTTCTGTTTAAAATTGTGTTTTTAATCTGTCTTTCAATACAGTATTTTTATTTGTTTGTGTCTTAACTGGGTTTTTTTGTTGTTCTTATCGTGAGCTGCCTTGGCTCCATTTTTAAGGGAGAAAAATAGGGTATAAGTGCCGGAAAACATATAAAGCCATTTTTTTAAAAAAAAAGCATAAGTTAACTTCTCCTAATACATTCTGACTGGGTTTGGGAGGTAAGTCCTTCAGGGACTGCTCTTGAAAAAGAGAAGAAAATTAATTTTAATTTTTTGGCTCAGAGAAGGCAGGAGGAATGGCTTTTGTAGTTCTCACCTCTGCAGATCCAGGATCGAGGATCTGTGTCATCTTGCATTGCCTTGTGGCGCTGAAGCAGATCGCTCTGGCCGGCTGTTTATAAGTGTTTTAACTAATGAAAGTCTTAAGCAATTTAGTGCTTGGTTACTGGAGAAAATCGTTCAGTTGCTGAGATGTCTTGGAGATAATCTCCTGGTGGCACCACACTCTCATGAGATCTGCCCTGCTGTTGTTTGGAGTAGGGTAGTTAATACAGAGGCACACTCTATACAGAATATCTTTTTTCTCTGAAACTCAACAAGATTTTTTAGTTTTAGACATATGCAGAAAACAAGAACCGCCTGCGTGACCCAACCTAACCTCTGTTTTGTGAATAACATAAATATTGTATTTTAATTTTGTGCCTTTTATCTATTACACATTGCAAAATTTGTACACTGCTTTGGCAGCAGGAGATCTAAGTGGCTTACAAATATTTGATAACAACAGCATGCTGTTGTTCACTGCTGTTAATGTCTAAGTGGCTTACAAATATTTGATAACAACAGCATGCTGTTGTTCACTGTTGAGCTGTTAATGCATCATGTTTTCTGCTGAACCCCATCTTCATTTTTCTCTAATCTGCTGTCCCTCTCCCCTAGGATCCTGGAGACGATGGGAGTTTCTTCTCGAGAAACGCAGCTGGAGTTTTGGACACGACAAGTCTGTGTTCTGGGTTGCAGGAGCTCTTAACTGCATATCAGTGATGCCGCACCCCAAGAGAAAAATCAGGCCATGAAGAGGTGGGGTTGGGTAGGGGCAAAGAGAAAAGTCCCCAAATTATCCTGATCCTCAGGTACTGTGGCTCAAAGGTAGACTGCTCCTGCAGCTGGTGTTTCTATGGAATGCTCGGGGTATCATTTTTTGGGGGATACACTTTAAAAAGCTACTAATGCTCACAGCACACAATACAGTGGTGCCTCGCTTAACGACGATAATCCGTTCCAGGAAAATCGCTGTTAAGCGAAAACATCGTAAAATGAAATTAAAAACCCCATTGAAATGCATTGAAACCTGTTCAGTGTGTTCCAATGGGGTAAAAACTCACCATCCAGCGAAGATCCTCCAGCGAAGGTGCCTGTAAAGCAAAAAATGGCTCCTAAACACAGCGGGGAGCCATTTTGTACACCCGGCTACCATTTTGAAACCCGACAATCCGCTGTTTTTTATCGTCGCAAAGCGAAAATCGGTTCCCGAAGCAGGGAACTGATCATCGCAAAGCGGAAAAACCCCATTCAAACCATCGTTTTGCGATCGCAAACATCGTTGTCAAGCAGATTTGTTGTTAAACGGGGTAATTGTAAAGCGGGGCACAATGGGTTATATGGAGAGAACCTGGTTTGCAGAGAGTAACGAAGCAAGCAATACTGATGTAGAAAGAACTCAAACGAACACGTAGGTTGATATATCCCATTTCTGGTCTCAACTAGAGCAGATCCACTTGGTGGCGTTTAGAGAAGTGTTGCTGTACAGTTCAGACCTCGGTTGAATGGCCTGCTTCTGAGCTCAGACTGGTTACAGGAGATGACGCCCCAAAAGACCGAATTACATGGAGAGAGGAGGGTTCTGAAAATTAAATCTACGAACAATAAAGCATTCCTTGATGCAATATCCCTGTATATCGGTGATAGGAAAAGTTACCCTTTTTCCAGCCGTAGTAGTTCCGTCCCACACCTTTAAGGATAGAGAGGATTGTTAACACTGGGCCACACCGCAGGGTCGTTGTTCAAGGTCTCTGGTCTAGTGCGTCTGTCATCTGTCACAGAGTGACAATTATACGCGATGACATAGCAGGACTGTTGTGTGCTGGTGTCAGCTTTGAAGTTATGTACCTTAGGGTCAATGTTGCATTAAATGCAAGTAGATATGAAACTGATTTGGATTTCCATCTTTAAAAAAAACCGCAAAACCCAAATAGGAATTTAATCTAATTTCCAACACCACTAAAGAGGCATGGGGTTGCGTTTGTACTTCTTGAACTTTTCCTTCGTTAAACAATAAAGTTTCTTTTGCACACGAAAAAAAAATAATAATTAAGACCCGTGTTTTCAAAAGCGGACCTGGCTTGGGTTGCTTATTTATGATAATCTGCCTCACACACAAAAAAAGAAACCGAATGGGAACCCGAAGGTTTTGCGCCACCCGGCGCCCGCCAAATGACTTACCTCTATGGACGAACCGAAGTGGCACTGCCGGGGTGATCGCGCTGACCAATAAGACTTCGGAGCGTCTTCTCACGTGACGGTTCCAGTTGCTCCGCCCCTAGGCTTGCAGAGCGCAGGCCGTGTCGGCTCCGCCCCACTCGGAGCTGTCCAATCCACGCCCCGATGCTGCGCGGGGGAGCGCTGGCGGTCTTGGCTCTCGGCTGCGCGGCCGCCTGGCTCTGGCATCGCGGGTTCGATCCCCGCTCGTGGCTCGGGGATCCCGTCTTGAGCGCCGCCGAATTGAGCCGCTACACGGGGACGGAGGAGAGCGCCGGGCTGTACCTGGCGGTGCTGGGGCAGGTCTTCGACGTGCAGCGGGGACGCCGGCATTACGGGCCCGGGGGCGCTTACAGCTTCTTCTCAGGTCCCCCTGCAGGGATGGGTCTCTGGTGTCCCCCTTCCTGATTCCTGGGTGGCTGGGGGATTCTGGGAGTTGTTGTCCCAAAGGAGCACGGGACACGGCTCCTAGGGCTGAGTTGATCCCCTTCCTCTGGAGGCGGATGGGTTTATCCTCTTCTTGTTTCCCACTGTTTGCTCTCTTGCTTCTTACCATGTTCCATTTTGGGCTGATTTCTTCGTTGCATTCCTTTGTTGATTTCTTGTTTGTTGCATTCATAGAATGCAATTATTTGCATGCAAACACCGATCTATTTTTTTTTAATGCGCAAAAGCATCTCAGCCTTCAACCAGAACTTGCCACTAGCTTAACTTTAAAAGAACCCCATTCTAATCTTCTCCAGGGTCTTTTCGGTTGCTTTGCAGATTTCCTTCCTGACCTTGCAAAAAAAAAATTGGGCTCCCATCGGAGCATGGTGAGGCTGTACAATGATGTCTCCCCCTTGGCAGGGCCATATCATGATTCTTACCTAGCTGTCCACTTTTCCTTGTGATAAAGTAGGTAAAAAGTGCTTAGGGAAAGCTAGATCTAAATGTACCTTGAGCTTTTTGAAGGTGGAATCTATTAGTTAATAAATCACAACCCAGAGAGATGATATTCAGTAAGGGTAGTCTTACAGAGGAGGAGCAGGATCCGCTCTGTGTCATCACAGAGTGCAGGATGCGCAGCAATGAACTCAAGTTACAGGAAACCAGATTGATGCTGGAGATCAAGGGAAACTTCTCAACTTTTAGAGTAGTAAGACAATGTGGAACCCAATGACCTCGGGAGGCGGCGAGCGCTCCAGTGCTGGAGGCTTTCAAGAGAAAATTGGACCACGCTCTGTCCGATCTGAATTGCTCAGGTTGGCCTCGATAGAAAATTGGACCACCCTCTGTCAGATCTGAATTGCTCAGGTTGGCCTCGGGGGCTTTGCAGGCCCCTTCTGAGTTAATTGTATTATTTTATATTATTTCCCCAGGTAAAGATGCTTCCAGGGCTTTTGCAACAGGCGACTTTACCCCAGCTGGACTGGTGGATGATATTTCTGGCCTTTCGCCCTCGGAAATGCTGATCATCCAGAACTGGCTTTCCTTCTATACTAAGAATTACGTGCGTATCGGTAGGTGATGGGAGAAATTCAACCCAGTCCGATTTGAGTTCCTCTCACCTTGCTTTCCAACCTTACTCACGGCCCCCATGCTCAAGCCAGTGGTAAGTGTCTGTGGCAGCTGTATTCCAGCCAGAATTGACTTGCCGGCCCATAATTATTCATTTAACAGCACATTAACAATTACAGTGGTGCCTCGCTTAACGAGCGCCCCGCTGAGCGATTAAATCGCTTAATGAGGGGCTCTGGGCCATCGCTGGAGCATTCGCTCAGCGATGGCCCCTATGGCGTTTTTTCACTTTGCGATATTCGTTAAGCAATTTGCTTAGCGAATATTGCATAACGACCAGCGGGGGAGAACAGCTGGTCAGCGCTGCATTTTTGCGTCCTGCCCTCGCTTACCGAGGGCGCGAAAATGGCAGCGCTATGGAGGAAGATCGCTTAACGGTGAGTTTTAAAGCCATAGGAACGCATTGAACGCTTTTTTATTTCCGTTTAGCGATGTTTCGCTATAGCGAAGGCACCACTGTATTATTATTATTACAGAAAGTATGCTTTCCCCTCTGTGGTGATTTAAGGAGACCATACCCTAAATAGACAAGTGACAAGACAAAGGGCTTTCTGACATCGGTGCCAGAGTGGAGTGCAACAATATCCACAATCTAAAGTCTGCCACAGTGACATGTGTTTGTCCTTTGGCCTGAGAATTCTGGGAAGAGCATTTATTTATTTATTTATTTGATTTATACCCCACCTATCTAGTCTACTCGACCACTCTAGTAGTCCGACCTCCCCCCCAGAAATCTGTGTATCTCTTATTTTCATTGTTAAGTCAATAGATATAGAAACCAAGTCTAATTTTTTTTTAAAATCCTCTACTTTTGGGAAGGTAAAGTGGCCGGGCGATTCTACCACGAAAACGGGACACCTACCGAGGTTCTGCGGCAAGCCTGGGACCTCATTGAAAATGGACAGAAGCTGCAGGCTCAGGAAGAGGAGAAGAAGCAGCAGTTTCCGCCGTGCAATTCAGAATGGAGTTCCACTGGAGGAAGTCGTGTCTGGTGTTCCAAACAGAGGTACATTCTTGAGATGCAGAGAATGAGGCTGCAAAGGGTTAGGGAAGGGCACCAAAGATGCCGGAAGACAAATGATTTAGGCTGCAAAGATGAAATGTATTTAACTTTGCAGGGTGCTGATGTTTTTCCAGATTGAAAGCCCATTGTTATCGACTAGGACTATAAACATCCTTCACACGGTAGGACCCTCATCTCTGTAGGATCAGTACCCACAGTTTCACTTACCCGTGGTCAGAAAATATAAAAAATATTAAATGAAAAAAACAACACCTGATATATTTCCAGGATGTAATTACCAGAACTAGTCACTAGAAGGAGGAAGAGACAGTGTTATGTATAGTGTTCGCTATTATCTCTGGGTTGTAGCATCCGTGGGGGCGGGGGGAGGCTTGGAAACTGATCTGCCATAGACACCGGGGTGCTACTGTAATATAATATATCAATCACATTTATAATGGAAACGATCAGATTGCTATTTTCAATCAAGAAAATTATTGATTTATTTATTTAATTTATATGCTGCTCACTCTACCGGCTCACAACAATTAAAATACAATTATTCACTAACAACCATTTTAGGATTTTTAAGTAGCAGTCCACTGATGATTCATAGCTACATTATTTACACTGTGCCTCTTTAGCCTATAGAGCGACAAAAGAGAATATTGAATGCTTGCCCCCTCGCTCTTCTGACTTTTGAGATTTGCATTGCACACCACAATGAGGACTAGAACCTTTTAGTGGAAGTTGATTTTCTTAAGAAGTTGAGTTGGGCAGCAGGGCTCTTGATTTAGAACCTAGGGACCAGTCAGTCTCTATTTCAATGGAAGAGAGAGCAAGTGAGACCATAAGGATATTGACTGAGGCTGTCATTAAATCCAGGGTTGGGCAACATGGGGGCTTCCGGATGTTACTGGACGGCAGTTTCTATCAAGTCTCAGCCAGCAGACCCAACGGTGAGCAATGCTGGGGACTCCGCTGGCTGAGCCCATCAGAAGGGTTGCGTGTTGCCAGCCCCTTTTCAAATACAGGTACATGAAGATTAATTATACAGAGGAGGGCCAGAATCTGTTCTCAATCATCTACGTGCAGGGCACACAACTATGGGCTCAAGGTGCGGGAAGCCAGATTCTGAGTATCAAGAAAAACTTTGCAACCGTTAGAGCAGTACAACAATGGAACCAGTGACCTCAGGGAGAGGTGGCGAATGGTCCAACACTGGAAGCATTGAAGAGGCAACTGGACACCCATCTGTCAGATCTGTTTTGATCTGGATCTCTGTCTTGAGCAGGCGGTTGGACTGGATGGCCTTTACAGGTTCCTTCTGACTCCATTATTCTATGATTCTGTAGTCTCATCATGTGTTACACTTTCCCCTGTCTCTCCTTTGTCTCTGTAGTGGAGGAGTCAACAGAGACTGGACCGGTGTCCCCAGGAAGCTGTATGAGCCAGGATCCCACCGCAGTCATTGCGTGTGTGTGAAGACGGAAGGGTCATCTCATTACAGTCCCAATCTACAAGAATATGAAGGGTGCCACCCACTCTCTGACTGGTGTGCTTTGAAAGACTGATCCACTTCTGTCTCTCCAGACAGTGTTAGGTGTGCGCCTGTCCTCTTGTCACTTCCACAGACCTGTGAGATTCAGACAGCCCACTGAGAATGGGTCTCTTTTGTAATCCTTCCTGCCAATACGGGAGCGCTCATCCAGAGAAACGGGGGATCTCGCCCACTCTCCAAGCGAGGGGAGTACTTGGTGGTTCTTGTGCACAAAAAAAAATAAAATCACATTTTTCCCTTTCATGAGAGATGAAATATTTTCTGACCGTCTTGAGAGGGGTGTTTGTGCATGGTGCGAGAAAATGATGTTTGATACTCTGTGAAATTCTTATTGTTGGTTGTTCCATAGACTCTTGAGAATCTGAAGCAGGGGATGGGTGGCTTGCCTCTTTTTGAACCATCACTCTGCCCGTCTGTGCTTGCTGGATGTATGTCTCTTGCTTTGCTAAGGGAAAGGTCCCAAGTTTTGCCCAGAGACCTCGACGGAAAAAGAGCCCTTAGAATCACAGTTGTACTGAAGTCAAGAAATCTCACAGCCCCTGGACATGCTTTCTCTGGGTCATATGATTAGCCTAATTTAACAATTTTTAAACATCTGCCTTCCCCTTCTCTCTCTTACACACAGCCTCTCTTTCCTACACACAAGGCGTTAAAAGACATCCATTCATGCTATGTTTAATGAAACTGATCTGCAGTTCGGTATAGCTTCTAACTCTGTAAATCATGTTTGAATGAATCAGGAAAGCATGATTTTTGAAACTGCGGGGGCAAATCATAGTTGGGTAAGACATTTGAACTAAACAAATGTCTGCCTATTGTTCCACTTCCAACAGCTCCTTTTGGACCACCAAGCAGCTGATAAGTGCAGAAGGAATTCTAAATCCTTAATTTATACAACTGGATGCTTGGAACCTTCACTTGGATTTTTACACTTTACTACACATCTTCCCTGTGATTTCTCTAGCAAATTTAACAGTCCTTCTCTACGTGATGGTATTCACCATGCTCCCTAGTGGCAAGAGAGCAGGAGAATTCAATTATCACATTAGACTGATTTGCGTTAACCATAGCAGATTCCAAGAAGGTCTTGTTATAGCAGACATGGGGGGAGTTTTGCCTCAGTCCTTCTTCGCATCATCAAAACAGGCAATCGTGAAAGCGGCAACAGCATTGTACGAGGCACACAGCCACACAAGTATTTTTCCAGTTGCTGGTGGTTCTACCGGAAACGCACCAATACCATCTAGGCCAGTTTGATTTTGTGCACAAAGTTATACATAGGAATGCAAACACTGCAAAAGACACAACTGTCCGCTGAACAAAAATAAAAATTACCTATGATGTGTGGCCTATCGTTAAGCCGGCCTTCCACAAAATCCAGTTAGTTTCCACATTTATGTACAGGGAACTTTCTGAAGCTGTCTACTAAACCAGAAACAATTGTAATAATCAAGTGATGACTTTCCCCCCTTCATTTTGGTTCACAGCAGAAACCACATTCACCCTGTCTCTAAAGCAAGGAAAATAGAAAAGTACAGTATAATGATTAAATGTTTTTTTAAAAAAAACTTTTAATGCAGCTTAGTACAGAATAAGTTTATTGCTTACTTTTTATATTATTGTGATGTTACTGCGATGTTGCTGTTATTTAAAGTGGTTGTTGCATTTTGTTGTAAACCGCCCAGAACAGCCTTTGCAGCCTGATGGGTGGTATACAAATAAAATAAATAAAACTGGCTTGCGAGTAAGGCCAGATATGTAGAAATCATGAACACACCAGAGTTTGGAAGTTAATTGTGGAATTCAATACTCAGAGATCAACCTGGGGCTGTTGCAGTCCGAGAAAGTTGTTTCTCAAGGTTTTGTAAACACACACACACACACCTGCAAAAAATAAAACAAGCCTCAAGGCTTCCCAGTTCAATCTCTCATTGCTTTCAGAGACAGGAGAGTGAAGAATTTTTTGAAGATCTAGAAATCAGCAGCAGGTTCTACACAAATTCCCACAAAGCATGACAGCTCCTCTTCACGGGAAAAAAAAAAGCAGATTTGCTTCTACACTCCTAGGGAAGTTTGAACCAGTCCTTATGAGAAAGCCAACCCAACCTTCTTCAGGAAAATGACTGCAATACTTATTTCGGGGGAGGGGGGGGAACATGAACACTGTAACCTGTGGTATCCCATTTTTGAGCTCCTTCTGTAATGAAATCAACCAAAAACTTCATGCATTCCATCCACACAGGCGTTTCTGGTTAACAAACGGGGCCAGCCAGTTGCATAGACTCAGTCTTAAATGTTTTATTAAAAAGTGCTTTACAATGATCGTTTCTGTGCAACACCCAACCGAGGTTCACGCAAACCGAACTGCCTTGAAGAATCGGTTCTAGTTCCCGGGGTATTTCCAAATTCTGCCCCTGGTGCTGTGGCTTTTTCCTTGTCGTTACTGGCACCTCTGATCATCATTTGTACAAACATTTACAGTCTGGAGAGGGGCTGTGAATTGATCCGATTAGTCAAATGACCGATTAGTCCATTAGTCACACACATAGAGAATGCCGGTTGAGAGAAATATTTCTCTCTAAAGAGAATGTTTACAGAATCTATCTCTTTTGGGTGCATTACCGAGACCAAGTCAAACCAGAGCATAGGAACGTCTAGAGCCTCTAGTTAACTCTGGACAAAAAGACTATGGATGTTGTGATCCATACCCATATGAAATGTTGACATCTCACTGCTTGGCTTAGTCTTGCACCCCTGGAATAAACCTGATAAAAGGGCTTGATTCTTTTAAGGTGAAAAGTGAGATCAGTCTGGCACAGGGTTTGGAAAGGGGGAGACCCTCCCAGCTAGCTGGAAAGAGGGCAGGATTCCAGTTCATTCCATGAAGGCAGCTGGGAAACGACCAAGCAGCAAATCCTGGTATTTCTGAAATGTATTGTTTTTACCATTGCACTGTTGAGACCTTATTTCCCAGAAAGCCTTTTCTTTTCTTTTTTTTTACTGCACAAGCCCAGGATTTTTACTTAACATATAAAGCTGTTATGTTTTCTATAAATCACAGTAATATATATATAAAAAAGAAGTAGCACTATGGTTTCAGCTCTTTTTACATATATATATATAGGAGACATCATTAGAGGACTTATTAGCATTCTAGAAAGGCGGAGAGAGGACGCAATCCGAAGGTATGAAAGACCGCTCGCTCTCCCCCCGCCTTACGTTATACACGCACCATCAAAACTAGTGGTTATGGAAGGTTAAGATAAGACATACATCCCCAACTGGTTCTTTCAAGGAGCAATAACAGAAGGTACAAGTGATGTCCATTGTTCGGGGGGTTTGAGTTACTTTTCGAAGAAGGCAAGACAAAACAGAAAAAGCTTTATGCTAAAGGATGTGGCAGCTGGACCTCCCCACCCCCAATGGGTTGGCGTCTGCCAGGTGGAGCGAGTCACCCACTGTGTTGCACCCGCCGTGCGCATGACAAGTGTCTGCTCAGAAGTGGTTCCGTAGGGTTTGCGACAGAGATAAGAGTCGACGTGAAATGCAGGGGGTTGCAGACCATCTGCATGAGAGGGAGCCCAAGTAGGTGTGAAGGAGAGGTAATGTGCGTGTGTGTGTTTGTGAGAAGGTGAGTGCGTTTGTGCTCCAGTGGGCCACCTATAAATCCTCCAGACTCCGAAGCCCATTAGTGCCAGCGAGCATTAGATAAGAGTGAGCGCCAACCCAACAAGATCTGAAGATCATTCCCTTTCCTAACTCTTGATCATAAGAGACCAGAGGCCGGGCTAACATTTATCTGGCAATGAAAGCTCGGGTCCGCTGTGTGCATGTTTGATCCAGAGCACCTCGACGGGGCCAAATTGCCGACGCAACAGAGCAGGCTCCCTGCTTCACCATCTCCCAAGGTGAAGCTGTGACTTCCCAACTTCGAAGGGCTCGCCACCATTTTTACAAATACATATGCAGGAGATTACAGATCAGGGGAGTTCTCTCACCACCCTTCCCGTCCCGACAAACATCCACAGCACAGACTACACCACTAGCTGTGCTTACATGCGCAAAGGTGGCTCCAGCCCTATCTTTTCACTTCTAGGTTGCCGCCCCCCCAAGCCAGGACTTCCTCTAGCATGGATGGTAAACACAGGACTACCTAGGCAACTGCATCAGCACATGACTAAAAGGACCAGCCACGAGCTTAGAAAAGCCTTCATCAAATCTAGTAGCTAAGATACCTCCAATTCTTTCCCAAGACCCAGACTTCTTAAGATCTGAGAGGGTAACCCTGAAGGGAAGGGAAGCAGTAACACTGGGATCTCTGTTTTTTTTTTCTTTCAACAGAAGAAACAGTAATGCTTTTGTGATAAGGCCACCAAAGAAAAGGAAAAAAAAAGTGCACTAAACCAAACCCTGTATTGTAGATCATGCCTTCTGGACGAGGCCATCCCTGTGTGTAGTTACAGCTGCCTGCTTTTAGGACAAAAAAGCCAGAGAAGAAAAGGACAACCCCAATTCTCTCAACAGAAAGAGAACAGAAAGGGGGGGGGGACTCTGTTCATCGCACAGAGTCACCCAGAAATGTAAGTGCATCTTTTTTTAAAGAAAGAAACTGATGCGAGAGAGGGCATCAAAGGAATCCCTGTCAGCTTCACAGCCTACTAAGGCCTGTTTTTGTTACATGATTATTGGTAAAAAAAAATCTCATTATTATTATTAATTATTTGGTCAACCCTCTGCACTGCAGTAAGCTGACGGCCAAATGCAGTTCACGCTTACTTCTGCCGCAAAATGGTTCCGATTTGTTTCCCCGAATCCAGTTTCTTACCATTTGTCCCCATTAATGTTCATAGAAAAGAAAACAACCCCGTATATACTAGGATACAACGCTTGTGTGGTCCCTTAAGCCGACTGGTCTGTCATCACAGGAAGACAAAAGGAGGCCCTTCTGACGTCTCTCCGCGAGAGGCTGCGAGGCGAGGAGGGAGGGGTGGCTACCGGGAACCCCTCCCCGTCCCTGCAGAGGACTAGGAGACCCCACCCAGGGTTAAGACGTCAAAGCAGATATTGCAGACCCGGACCGGCTTGTTCAAGTCGAATTTAATGATGGGGATCTCCTTGGTCGAGCACTTGTGGCAGAGGAGACGCCCGCAGTGCCGGCTGCGAGGGAAGGAAGGGAGAAAGGGAAGAGTCAGCGGGCCCTCGCCTGTCTTAGCCAGCGCTCCCTGGTGTCCTGCTTCCGTGGAAAAGTTCAGAACAGGGCAGGCGAACACAGATGGTGGGATGTCGGGAATAAACCAGTCCCGAGCCCTTTTCTAGGCTTCAGAAAGAGGAACAGAGGAAGCGGCCCGAGAGCAAATCGTACCCTGCGCCCATCTAGCCCAGCCCTGCAAACTCTGAACAGCAGCAGTGGGTCTCCATGGGGCCTGGGCTTTGTTTGGGGAGGACTTTCTCCCAGTCCTGTCTG